ACCACTGAGCCACACCCCAGCCCCTCACTGGGGGATTCTAGGCAGGGGCTCTACCACTGAGCCACACCCCAAGTCCCTCATTGGGGGATTCTAGGCAGGGGCTCTACCATTGAGCTACATCCCAGCCCCTCACAGGGGGATTCTAGGGTGGTGCTCTACCACTGAGTCACGCCCCCAGCCAGCTACAAGGACTGTAAACCTTGTATCTTTCCCTTGGAGGGCTGCTTCTCACCACCTATTTCCTGTCTTCAGCACACTGAGACCACCCAAAACAACAGGTGCCAGGTCTTTGAAATCCTGGGCTTCAAGCTGGGTGTGGTGGCGCACGCCTTTAATCCTAGTACTCAGGAGGCAGAGGCAGGTGGATCTCTGGAGTTCAGCCTGGTCTACAGAGTGAGTTCCAGGACCACCAGAGCTACACAGAGAAACCCTGTCTCAAACAAACAAATAAAAAGAAGAAAGGAAAGAAGTCCTGGATTTCTGGTGAAATGAAATATACCATTGGAAGAGGGTTTTTTTGTTGTCTTGTTTTGAGACGGTTTCTCTGTATAGCCCTGAATGTCTTGGAATTTGCTCTGTAGACTAGGCTGGCCTAGAACTCACAGAGATCCACCTGCTTCTGCCTCCCAGGTGCTGAAATTAAAGTTGTGTGCCATCACTGCCCTGTAAATGTGAACTTTGCTTTCGGGTTTTTTTTGTTTGTTTGTTTTTGTTTTTGTTTTTTTAGCCAGGGTTTCTCTGTATGGCCCTGACTGTCCTAGAACTTGCTTTGTAGAACAGCAGGCTGACCTCAAACTTATAGCGATCCAATGCTGCTTCCCGAATGCTGCGATTAAAGATATGTGTCACACTGCCTGGCAGTGAAGAGGTTTTAATGATGTTGAATTTGTTTCATTTTCCAAGGTAGTATGGACTCACAGCTTGACTCTCAATGATGGTGCTGAGTCTCTGGAGACGTCCATGACTACTACAGCTACTCACATGGACAGACCCACCCTCCCCTGCCACTGCAGTCTTTTGAGCGCTGTTCTCCACGAGGCCATTTTAGTGAAGTCCTCACCTGTGATCTCACACTCGGTTTCTACAATATATCCCAATCGGGCAGAAAGGACTCCTCTGGAAGCTAGGCATGGTGCTCCACACCTGGAAGCTCAGTACACAGGAAGCGGAGGTGAAGGATTGGAAGTTTGAGGCCAGTATGGGCTATAGAGAGACCCTGACTTGAAAAAGAAGAGTCTTAGCTGAGCGGTGGTGGCGCACGCCTTTAATCCCTGCACTCGGGAGGCAGGGGCAGGCGGATCTCTGTGAGTTGGAGGCCAGCCTGGGCTACCAAATGAGTTTCAGGAAAGGCACAAAGCTACACAGGAAAACCCTGTCTCGAAAAACCAAGGAAAGAAAAGAAAAAGAAGAATCTCGTTGGTGTAGGGTGTGGACCAGTGGTGGAGCACTTGTCTAATGTGAGTGAGGCCCCAGGCTTCAGGGACCGGGTGGAGAGAACATTCTTAAGCCAAGTTTAGTAAGAATTCCTTTTTATGCCTCTTATTATTATTATTGCATGTATTTGGGGGTCTGGAGAGATGGCGAAGTGGTTAGAAGTACTTGTTGCTCTAGCAAAGGACCCAATCTGATTCTCAGCACCCACACAGTGGTTCAGTTATCTCTAGCTCCAATTCTAGGGGATCCTGGCCTCAGCCTCACAGAGATCTGCCTACCTCTGCCTCCTGAGTGTTGGAAATAAAGGCTCACATCATGCAGCCTGACAGGATCCATCAACTTCTGACCTCTGTGGGCACCAAGCATGCAGTGATGCACATATGTGCGTGCAGGCAAACCTTCATAAAATAATAAGTCTAACAAATTACAAATACATTTAAATGACATATTTTAAATTGCATTTATTTACTGTATGTTATTATATGGCTGCTGTGCCCACAATGCACTGAAACTCATGATCCTTCTGCCATTCTCCTCAAGTGCTGGGGTTACCACATCTGGGCTTATTGTAACCTTTCAATTAGGGTATATTAATTGTATAAAATATGGGTTTTATTACTTTTTCTAACATATATTTAACAATTTTTTATTTGTCTTTTGGGGGCTGGGTCATTCTGGATGAACTTAAACTCATAGCAATCGTCCTGCTCAGACTTAAAAAAACCTTATTTATTTTAGTTTTATGTGTATATATGTGTACCCGAATGTATGGATGTGCACCACATGTGTGCAGGAGTCTGTGGAGGTCAGAAGAGAGGCCAGATCCCCGGGACTGGAGTTACAGACAGCGGTGAGCTTCCTTGAGGGTGTTCAGAACTAAACCCGAGTCCTCTGCAAGAGCAGTCGGTGCTCTGAGTAAGCCACGTCTCCAGCCCCGGCACCAGGCTCCTGAGTGCTGAGATTGCTAGTGCCAGCCACCATGGCAGCATCAGCCTTCATTCCCTGTCACCCTTTCTTGTGCTCCCCCGCCCAGCTCTTCTCTACCTTATCTTGATGTTTCATTTTAGTAATTTTCCACCACTGGCCCTGTGGTGTGCTATTTTGATACATTCACGTGTTGAATTCTTTTAGACACACACATCCTTCCTCCTTTTCCAGTGCTGGGGATGGACCCTCACACAGGCCAGGCCGTGCTCTACCACACGCACGCACGCACACCACCACCATGTCCCTCACTGGTGCCTTTTCCGAAGCAGCTCTACCGCTGGCTGAGTCAAGGGGTTCCCTGGTGCATCCTAGGCAAGGTGCTCTCCACTGAACCCCACACCTCTTTAACTTCCTAGTTTGAGACAGGATCTCACTGACTCTCCCAGGCAGGCCTTAACTTTGGGATCCTCCTTCATCAGCCTCCTGATACCTGGAACTGTACCACCAGGCCTGGCCACAGTACCTTTTTTACATGCCAAGCTATGTGCATGAGCCCTAAAACGGAACTTCCTTGTTCCCACTAACTGTACAGGCTGGCTTTCGGAACTGACCTCAAAAGACCTGCACAGTTTGGTGGAACCAAAAATCTCAGAGCAGAACATGGGGGGAACAAAACAGACCCCCGTGTTCCAGATTTGAAACTAGGGGAGCCACCCACAGTGGCAGAAGGGATCAGATTTTCCCACAAAGTCCATCACATCCAATGTGCCTGATAGAGATTATTTCACCAAAACTCAAACTGGAACCACTCAGCCTGCTATTTCCCCAGCTGAGAAGATTTCTTAGCTGCTGGAATCGTGGGAACAGATCTTCACTGTCTCTGTCAGCTGCCTTTACTAATGTCGGTTTGTTTGTTTTGAGACAAGGTCTGACTATGTATGTAGCTTTGGCTAGACTGGAACTCATAGCAATCCCACTGTTTCTGCCTCTGGACTGCTAGGATAAAACTGTGTGTCACCATGTTCTACACCACCCTAGCTATGTGACCATGTGCAAGATGGCCAGCTTCTCTGGGCCTTAGCTTCATAGATGATAGATAGATAGATAGATAGATAGATAGATAGATAGATAGATAGATAGATAGATAGAATGAGTACCAGGGGTGACCTGCCAGAAATCAGAATCTGGGAGGGGAAAGAGAGAGACACAAGTGCCTGCCCCCCCAGGGAAGTCCAGAAGCAGGTCAGGCCGGCTCAGGAAGCTTGGGGAAAGCTAGCCTCAGGGGAGATGGGTTCATTCTTTTCTGTGAAGAGTCACCCAGCTCTGTTGCCAGTGACCTCAGTTTGCTGGTCACACACCATGAGGGCCCCAAATGGGGGACAAAAGCCATGCACAATTGTGTGATGCAGCCAGCTGGAGAAGCAGTTAAGAGTGAGGCTCAGCCTCTGTCCCATTTGAAGTCTTCAAAAGAGGTCACCTCACGGGCGAGGGAGGGGCTACAGAGCAGTAGAGCCTGGCCTCTGAGGGGTTTCCCAGGTCTGTGGTATGGGGATGGAAGGGACTTTCCAGGAGGAACTTCCCAGGGCTCCTAAGGGCTGGGGGTACAGGTAGGGGTGGGTCTCAAAGAACGGTGCTGATATTTGTGCATAGGTGGTGTTTTTTCTTTATTTTGTGTGCAGTAGGAATGTACGTGCACAGGTGTGTCTGTAGAGGCACGGGGGGCAGAGGGGGATGTCTGAGGTCCTGCTCACTCCCTCTAGCTTGTCCCCTCAAGCAGGGTCTCTCACTGAACCGGAAGCTTGCCGATTCAGCTATGCGCCCCCCCGAGAATGTGCCGTCTCAGGCCCAGTGCTGGGGTCACAGGTTTGCACAGCCATGCTCAGGGTTTACATGAGTGCCGGGGGTCTGGTAAGCACAGAGTCTTCTCCCTGTTTTGTTTGGTCCAGACAGGGTCTCATGTAGTCCAGGCTGGTTCTCTGGCTTTGCTTCTACCTCCTAAGTGGTGAGGTGTATACCACCACGCCCAGCTGGGGAGTCCGTAACCTTAAAGCAAGACCAGGACCCTGGGTTCAAGGGAGACCTGTGGTCCTGGTGCCCCAGGCACAGGACCAGGCACCAGCAGGTTCCATCTGGATTGGGGGAGAGCTCTCATGCAGCCAGTACTCTTGGGCCCAGGGCATCCAAAGGAAGGAGTGAGGTAGACATTGCCAAGGTGCTTGCTGGGTGTCAAGATGGAGTGAGGAATGCTCTTGGTGTGGGCATGGGGGAGGGGGCTCTGTCATAGAGGGACCCGGTAGAGAGAATGGCCTGTCTCCAACAGTCTGGAGCAGGGCTGGGTGGCAAGGGAAGTTCCAGCTGTGGGGTGCAGAGGAGGTACAGCCCCAGGACATCCCCTCTGCTTGGAGAGTCTATAGTGAGCCTATTGGTCATGGGGGTGGTGGGGGTGGGGGGG